AGTATTCTATTAGAATTTAATGATTATACTAATTAGATTTTAGATTTTTTATATTTAGAATGAGATGTTTATCATGTATTTGATTGTGTTTATCTGCAGAATTAAGTATTCTGTTATAATTTAATGATGTTAATGCACTTTTGGTATATTGATTTTATAAATCATTCGAAAAATACATACGATGGAGTTGTTGGGCACATTTTTGAGTGTCATCACTTGTTAAGAAATGTTTTATTGAAGCCGTGGTGTATTTTGGGATTTTACCCAACCTTTGAGTATTTGTATTTCATTGGCTATATTAACTTTTATTGGCTATTGGCTTGGTTTGGATTCATGAGTTTTTGGGAATATTTGTCCGATTTAAATTGCTCAATGTTGAGTTTTGGACATGATTTTCATTTATTGCATATTTATTTGGAAATTACATGTTTTCAATATATTAGTTACTCAATTTGGAATCATCTAATTTAGACTGTAATGCAATGGATCTATTGACATAGGTTTCGATTTGCTATGTTAGTCTCAACCATTTGATATAATAAAAATACAAATACATCTGATTTAACACTCCTAAAGATTTGTTAATATCACCCTTGAATACATTCAGATTTTTTTATCCAAAGTGATGATAAGTGTACTTCAAATTTATCTTCGGATCCAAGTTTATGTTCAAATTTGATATAAAAAACACATATATTAATAATTATCTCATTTTATTATCATGTTTAGATTACTTTTCATATACTATTAAATTATATTTATAAGTTTAAATCAAAATTAAAATTAAAATTTATGTTAATAAGTTTGTATTAATACGTCTAAATTAAAATTAATACAGAAAAAAAACTAATAAATTATATTTGATTTTTTTTCATAATTTATTATATATATACTAGAAACGTACTCGCGCAATGCAGCGAGATACATCGTGTTTTTTTTATTTCATTTTATTATTTATCTCAGTCGATGTTATAATATGGCTTTATTTGATTTTGAGAAAGCGATGATGTTTTTATTTTTGAATAAAATATATGTTTGACGATATCATAAAAATTTGACAAAAATATATCGATATTAGTATCA